GTTATCAAATTAAAAGTAAATTTACTTCTAAAGAATTACTGAAGTATACAAATTATCAACAAATTATAATTTATATCCTTGAATTTTAATCAATTATATTTTATAATCTTATTTAAACATATACAATAATGTGTTTGATAAATAACAATAGGTACCTATATCATTTCATAATGAAATACCACTATAATAGTGATATCATCACCCCAGACGTAACTAGGGGGGTGGTGCTAGGAGGTATTTATCACTAAAAATACCCAATAAGCTTTTTATAGTTTTGACTAAATATTTAATTCATGTATTTCATAATTAATAAATAGTACAAAATGTAAATTACTTACAAGCAATGCATGTGTGTATAAAAAATAAAGTTAAAAAGAAAGGTAAGATAATGAGGACGGGTGCAGCCACTTGTGTATAGGTTAGAAGTTTGGAAGGTAAGATACAGACGGGAATTTAATGTATGTATATGTAAGCAATGTTAAACCATTGCTTACGAAAAACGATTATGATCAGAGTTCAGTTGATAGTAAATGCTTTGTCAACAATGTATATTCTATATTAAAGTAAAATAATTGAATAGGCTCTATATATTTTTTTTAATAATATTTGTTTAATGTTGTACCGATTTTCCCAGTTTTCCTACGTTTTTCCCGCCTTTTCCATGTTTTATCCTAATTATTTACATTTGCTGGGAAAATTCCTGAGAAAATCGAAAATTTACTTCTTTAAAGTACCTTCCTAGTGAAATTTCTTTTTAGAAACATTGCTATCATTAAAAGTTGGAGCAAAATTACTGGTTAAAAAGTTGTGCACAAGAAAAAATTATTATATTAGAATTGCATTATGTATTTAGAAATACATAATCACAAAATGCATATATGTTCATGATATTGGAGCGCTTCAACGCACATTGAAAGACTAAGATAAACATATCGCATCTTGATGATCTACTAACGATTTACACAAGTGCATACCTATATATATTTATGTAGGTATGTACTAATAATAAATTGCAACAATTATAAAATTCGTAGCCAAACGCGGGAGTACGAGTGCTTCAACGAGTTTTAACGTTCAGATAACAGTTTTCAAATATGCTCATTATAGTTCAGATAATAGAGGATTCGTATAACAGAGGTTCGGATAATCAAGGTTCTACTGTAATTGGGAAAAACCTGGATAAAATGTCGGAAAAACGGAAAAATGTACGAAAATTATGCTTTTATAATTCAGTTAAAAATATTCGTAGTGACTTGAATATTGGACAGACAAATTATACTTGCCTTTTCTAGACGTGATAAAACCATAAAAAAACATTTGAGCTATTTTTGAGTTTTATATTGACATTTTAGTTGTGTGAGTAATTTGTATTAATAAGTAAATACTCGTGCTCTGTATTTCAAGTAGTAGTGTAGCATTTTTTTTGAAAAAAAATGTTGTCTTGTTAGTGCAATAGGAAGTGTAATATATTGCTCAAAATCATACTTCGTTAACAATGATTTACAGTTTCATAAATATATAAATTAAATAGTTCAATGTATCCTACATTTTCAACTTCACGCCTACAACAGTAGGCTCTTTTTTTCTAACTGTTAAGGTAACCCAGAAATCAACAAAAACTATAGGCAGGTACTAGGTACAAACAATTATCGGATTTCCAGTTTATCATGAAAATTACAGGAGAAATCAAAAAACGACTTTCTTAACCCACTAACTTTTACTTACTTACAAGAGTGTTCCTATAAAGTTTTTGATTAGAGCAAGATTTCTAGTATAAAAATTGTTTACAGACATAATAAAAAACGAATCGTAGTAAAACCAAAGTAACATTTAAATTTGACCCTCCCCCTCTCCTAGACAAATTTCAATGGGGATATCGACTTACATTCTCTTAGATAAATTTCTGCAAGTGCCATATTAGGATTACCAAACTATAACACGCTACAAAATTTAAGGTTCGGTTACTAGGTAACTATTTTATTACACCCTATCAGTGTTGGGAATGATAACCAATATTTTTATTTAGATCATAGATAAAGATAAAAGATAAACTTTATAGATGAAATAAAAGATAAAAGATTAGATAATTATTTAAAATATCATTTAAAGTCTAATTCTTAGCTATTTTTTTATAATAAATTTATGTCTTATAGTTCAATAGAATATTCTTATTCTGTTATAACTAAAGACCAGATTTATATGTTTTTACATATCGTTAATGAGCTTATGCAATCTTATGAGAGTAAGAAATGTTGACGATTCGTTCAATTCTGAGCCTAGGGAAAAGTTTTTTTGAATATTTAAGAATATTTCTTGGGTTAAGGAATATTTAGCTTATTTTGCATATTTTGAAATATTTTGTAAATTGTGAAAAAAATAATTAATTTTAATAAAACGATTCCAGGAAAATATATTTTGAATATTTACAATTTTTTTTTTTTTTTATTATTTTGATAAAAAGGTTTAGTGTTATAATACCTACCTATTATAAGTTACTGTTCACTAAACATGGTGACTAAACTGCAATGCTGGCAGTTGTTATCATACTGATAATAACATAACCGTAATTGTTTATCATTAATCATTATCAACTATTCATATGTCCAAATATTTTGTTTTGCACTTTTCCAATTACGTGTAGCGTGATTTTTAAGTTTTTTTTAAAAATTAAATTATCTATATTGTTATATTTATATTGTATTCTTACTCTTACTTAAGTGCACTATTATTCTAATTTAATACGCAAGTGTCACTAATTACTTATAGAATATAAAAAAAATTGCATATTAAAGTATATATTAATGTTTGTCAATTATTTTTGCATATTTTTCAAACTTTTAAGAGAATATAATGAGAATATTTTAAGGTTTTTTAAAAAATATTAGCATCATATTTTAGGTGTTTTAAGAGAATATTAATTCGGTCTTTAGTTATACTTTTAGAAGTTAATAGGTAAACACTATAGATTAATTTAAATTATTATTTATTACTTATTAGTTATTAGTATTGATACCTATGTGGCTATATCTGTACAAGCGATTCATACTAAGTGGCTTTACATTATATTCATAATTTAAACTAAATATACATTTAGTTATTTAAATTATAACTTATATTTAGTTGTAGGAGGATTATATGCAAGTATATAACATATAATTTCACTATTATTTGTATTAAAATATTTTTGTATGTAATAATTTAAATTTTAAAATATATGTATAAACATATTTAATATTTCATTATTAAAATAATTATATCTTAGGTATTTTACAAATAACTACTAATATGTTTAATATCTAATTTAAAAAAAAAATGTATTATATTGTACCCAAACTTATTAATTTGTATTTTTTAATCAAATCTTCATAAAAACAGTTTATAATAATATTCAAGAATAGATCCCCAGGTTGCTCAATTTATTATCTATTATCTTTCGACATAAAAACTAAAAACAATAAGTATAAGATAAGAAATTTTTTGGATTTATCTATAAAAAAGATAAAAGATATTTTGACGTTATCTAGATTATTATTTAGATAATTTTATCTAGTTAGTCCCAACACTCCACCCCATATTATTAGGCGCCAAATAAATATATGATATGATATGATAGAGATTGTACAATGTAGCATTCTAACTATGCGTAATATAAACAGTTTAATAAACTGTTTTGTTTTCCGTAGGATACGACCTCATGTGTAGCGTTAAATGAGATACAAATCAAGGACCCATTGCGCGGTGACGACGCCGCTAACGTTAAATACATATTCCCTATTGAGCAGGCACGTATTCAGGATCAATTTTCGGGGGGGGGGGGTTAAAATATTTTTAATGAAATAAATTATACCTAGAGTTTGTAGTTAGTCTTTGTTATATTATAAATACATACCTACTATAAAAATGTCGGGGAGTGTTTGAACCCCTAAACCCCCCCCCTGGATACGGGCTTGCTATTGAGACGACCGTAGCAGCTAACGGCAACGAAGGCGAAGGCTCCCATCCCCCCTCCATACCTCGAGGTTCTGAAACAATGTCATCGTCGTCCGCCTACTGTCGTCCCCGTAAATTAGTGGGGTGGCCCGTGGACCACCAGTGGTCCCTGGACTTACTCAAGTGGTCCGTGAACTCATATCAAGTAGTCAATTTACTGTACTTCTGATTTTATTATACACGTATAAATTATAAATTATAAAGAAATAAGCGGTACGGGGAGTGGAACTAAGTGGTTCACAGTGGTAGAAAATTTAAAATGATGGTTAGTGCCTAATGTTGAGTTGGAAACTAATGTCGTAAATTGAGACCCGCTGGCTAGTGGCAGGTGGTACCTATATTATTATTATATTAATATTGTTTACTGTTTAGTATGCAACCCGACTCGACCGTAATAGGGTTTGCGGTACCGCCGTTTTTTTGTCGTTGTCCATCGCAGTTGCAGAACAATTTTATGACATAGGTAGGTGAGGTAACTACCGCCGTTTGAAATACCTAATAATAATAAGTAATGACTAATAACTAATAATGTGTGTGTATTTTCAAGAAATCGGCCGCACACTAGATCGAAAAATGTGTGACGGACATAATATTGTATTAATATTTCGTCGGAAAGGTCGTAAAGAATATAAGGTAGGTAGGTACCTATTTATTGCGCATGTGTAACCCATTCAAGGGTAAAAGGAATCGATTGACTGACGTAATATTATTTGTTGGTCACGGGAATATAAAATAATAAAACAAAAGTTCCCAACAGCGGCCAGATCAGTGGTTTCATGATTTGATAGAACAGTTCGAATACTACAACTAGTGCTCGGCGGAGACTGAGGGTACTCCGTTCCGAACGGTCGATGGCCGTGACGTAATAAGGAAAATCGCCTACTACGTATAACAATAATACAACATTCGACGAAAGCGTCCAAACGGCCCAATATTACCGTACACACGGGACCGCAACAATCGTTGTCGGTGCAGCACTGTAGGATTGGGTTCGCCACCACCACCACTGCCAAGTGATCAGAGTCTATTGCTCCGAGAAACAATTATTGTTAACACTTTTTTTTTTGTTTCTTTTTTTTTTTATTGTATCATCGTTAGCTTGAGCCCGTGTTCGCTCAACGTTTGGCCGTAGATTATACCTGTCGTAGGAAAACAATAAAATTCACTTAATATTTTAAATTTCTTTTTAAAATTTTCTTTTAGTCATTAGGCATACTATTTATACTTAATTTTAATAATATTAGCCAGTCGAAAAGCCTCGACGCGTATGACCCGCAGCAGCCGTCACCATCGTCTTGGTCAATGTGGAATAGGTACCAGTACAGAGTTTATTGAGTTAGTGGATAACTCGCGACTAACTCAATTCGTCGTTCTACAATAAGTTCTTCATTTTCTTGGTAAAATCGCTGTTCGTTTTTAATTTTTTTTATATCTATTAACACATCGTAATATTCATAAATACCGTGATAATGTATATTTTACGTTTACGTAAATTAGCGTTATAGATATTTTATACGTACTTGAACACACCAACTCTCATATATATCTATATATCTATATATTACCAACCTGAATGCTGTACACACTCTAACTGACTATAATCAAGATGATGCCGAAAAAAACTGAATCGTTTTTCGAAAAGATACAATCCACTAGGTGTACCTAGCAATGCGTCTGTTTGGGTACGCGATATTTGAACAGCTATGAGTATCACAGTAACTACTATTAATCCCGTATCGACAATTAAAGAGATGCCTTTATCTCGGAACCGACCTCACATCCTGTTGACGTCCAACAATAATGGTGCTTCAAGTACTTCCAACGATTCGTGCATCTCGCAGTCTGACTGCAGTAGCGATCATTTACCGTCACTTCTTAAATATTCACAAATTCTCGACAAATCAAACACTGCTACAACGACCAAGTTGCCGAAAAAGTGTTCTAAACCATCTAACCTCGATGTTATCGTAGACAAAGCTTCAAGCAACATAGATCTTTACGTAGAAAACAAAGACACCTTATTTGGTGTTAGCAAATCGGCCACTAGTTGTCTTCAACCTATTAGTAAACATGATGATTCAAGTACTGCACAAAATGCGAAGATTACGCCGTTGAGCAAACCCAAGAAAAAGGGATTCACACCAGATTATGTGTCTAGTAAATACAGTAGCAGTTTAAGCAAATTTGAAAAAATAGAGATTTTTGGATTTCCAGAAATTTATTTTTTTGGTATTGAAGCTGAAAAGAAATTACGACCTTATAATGGAATGCAATCGTTGTTTGACAATGATCAAGGTGGCTATGTTTTTGTGCCTCATGACCATGTAGGTTATCGATATGAGTTGCTCAAAATAATTGGAAAGGGTAGTTTTGGTCAGGTTGTTAAAGCATATGACCATAAACTTAATGAACATGTTGCACTCAAAATTGTCAGAAATGAAAAACGTTTTTATCGACAAGCCCAAGAAGAAATCAGAATATTAGAGCATTTACGCAAACAAGATGTTCACAATTTAATGAACATAATTCATATGTTTGATAGTTTTACATTCAGGAAACATATGTGCATCACTTTTGAACTTCTATCTATTAATCTTTATGAATTGATTAAGAAAAATAAATACCAAGGGTTCAGTCTTCAACTAGTGCGGAAATTCAGTCATTCACTCCTGGTTTGTCTTGACGCATTATATCATAACAAAATTATTCACTGCGATATGAAACCAGAAAATGTTCTTTTAAAGCAACATGGGCGAAGTGGTATAAAGGTATTCAATGTTTATAAATTATTACCTGGGCTCAAATTTTATAGCAAAATAACTAAAATATGTGCTATAATATGACATTACAAATTTTAAAATAAGCACTATAATATGTAGCTAAAAAATTTTTAAAAAGCTATGCTGCTTTAGTATGCCATAAAAACATGAAAAATTGCTCAGTACACAGACCTACTTAAAATAAATTACAATACAAAATGAAATTGTAGGTATTTTTCTTATAGATTCACATAAATGAAAGATACTATAAAATTCGAGCTCTGGTTATTATTAATATTATGTATTATCATATTTTTATTCTAAAGAAATATACAAAGTGTTTGGTTCAATTCAATGTATTTTGGAAGTATAATAAAATGATACTTTTTTAAAGCATTTGTAAACAAAATATTTAAAAATGATTAATTTTTTTAATTTCTTATATAAATTATTTTTGAAAAGATTTATTATTAACTAGTTAATATTTAAATATAGGTGGGCTAATGTTGTAGGTAAGAAGTTAGGAAGGTAGTATTTAGAGGGGAATTTAATGTATATTTTTATGCAGCGGTTGATCATTGTTAATAAAAAATGACTGAGCGGAGTTTGATTATATATGTTTTAAAAAGCCGTAATATTTACAATCTGCTCAACATGTGATATCAAAATTCTTATTAAAAAAAATAAATTATGCATTTAACTCAACTTTTTCTTTTTGACCACTATGTACAACTCATAATGATTCTCCTGTTAAATTATCAAGCATTTCTGTTTGGTCTTATAGTTCTATTTACAGAGTACCTACCAAACAAAAATTCATTAAATTAAAATGTCTATAGCTCAAAAATGGCCCAAATGTTTTGACAATTTTGCCATATTTAGAAAAGGCAAGTATGACTTCTCTATCCAAATTTCAAGTCTGTACAAATATGTTTAACTAAATTACAACAATAAACAAAAATGTAAATAATAAAAGTTTTATTTTTTAAATTTTCCCTTTTTTCCCCATTTATTATGAAAGCTTAAATCAAGGTTCTACTGAAAACCGCTCGGAAAATCAAAAAAATGACCTTCCATTATACCAACTATGTATAATTTTCTTTCAGAAAATGTACTAGACTTGAAAATTGGTGCAAGATATCTATTAAAAATTTTGTACATGATATAAAAAAGTAAAAAAAATAAACATTAAACAAATTACATTTTTTACTTCGCTCAGAATCTAAAATTTATTAAACATATTAGTAAATAACAAATGTTCATTAATATATGTATTTTAATTTAATACTATTTAAATAAAATAAATCCGTTTAATAAAGTGTTATTACTTATTATAATTATATTTATTATTTCTAGGTCATCGATTTTGGGTCAAGCTGTTTTGAGCATCAAAGAGTGTATACCTACATCCAAAGTCGTTTTTATCGAGCACCTGAAGTAATCTTGGGTGCAAAATATGGATTACCAATTGATATGTGGAGCTTAGGTTGCATTCTTGTTGAGCTGTTTACTGGATTTCCGTTATTTCCAGGGGAAGATGAAACTGATCAATTGGCTTGTATTATTGAACTTTTAGGAATGCCTCCTAAAAAACTATTAGATGTTTCGAAACGTGCTAATTACTTTGTGAGTTCTAGAGGTTATCCAAGGTATTGCTCCCAGACTACATTGTCTGATGGTTCAACCATTCTCAAAGGAAGTATTTCACGAAAAGGGAAAGCACGAGGGCCTCCAGAGTCTAAAGATTTATCCAAAACTCTAAAAGGTTGTGATGATCCACTGTTTTTAGATTTTATTACTCAGTGTTTAGAATGGGACCCTGAACGTCGTATTACACCTTCTATGGCCCTGAGACACAGCTGGTTGCGTCGAAGATTACCACGTCCCCCAGCAGTTGTTGATCACCAAAATTATTCTCAAGAAAGTACACCCACAAGTTTACGTGTAAAATTGTCTGAAACTAATCATCAAACAATGTCAATGCATTCCAGAAATTCTCAGATATCAAGTAAACTGCCCCAGATTACATCTACATGTATAATGTAAGAATTATCTTTTAAAAGTGTATAATATGGTTTTAATTCCTGGATGAATTTTATTTTAAATTTATTTATGAACCAAATCGTGTAATGTGTTTGTTAGAATATAGGTATTTACCGATTTTAGTATCTCTAGATCAGCATTATGTTATGTTTGTCTCAATTATTTTTTAAGGATTTTTTTTGTACTCCCAACAATTTTAATTCTAACAAATATTTTTATTTTAGAGAAATGTAAAATATATATTATATAATGATATAATTTCTTTTATGTACATGTGAACTTGATTTAACTAGCCAATATTATAAGATTTTGAATTTGTGAGTATATTTCAATATAAAAATTATTATAAATACTTGATTGTATTTAATTTTACTTCTTATTTTATAGAAATATGACAAAATTACATTAAAAATAAAAATGTTGAATTCATTTTAATTTTTGTTAAATTGTGTTTATATCAAATAATACAAAGTTTAATGATGTATAGCCATAATCTAAAATTTTAATTTCTGTTAAATTTCAATAGTATACTGTATACTATAATTGCATGTTATAGTTAAATATTATTGATTTCCGTGAAAAATATTGTTGAACTTCTATAAAATAATGTGTGTGTTCATTTTTTTTAATGTTTAGTCTAATAACTCAGAATGCTTTGATAGTATATTAATTGTAATTTGTGTTTATTACCAGTTTGTTTAAAGAAAAAATTTCCATTCTGAATTTTTATTTTATTTATAATTATGTATTGAATGAGCTGAATAATAATAAAATGTACCTAAATTGACTATTAAGATAAGAGTATAGAATTTATAATTTATTTATTATTATTGATAATGTAGACAGATAATTAATTTTTAACACATGACATCATTAATGTTTTTTTGTCTGTGCATGTATTTTAATTTCTTTTGTATTACATGGCATATAATAAAATCTCAAGTTTGCTATTCGAATTATTGGATTAACACAAAGTTAAAGTATACAAGATATACAAAGATTGTAACTATTTTTTGTTTAACTGAAATGTCAGGAATTTATAAACTTTGAAAAGTGATAATATTTGTAATATATAAGAAATTAAAAAATGAAGTTAATCTTAGTTAAGGCTTTAAACTTAATAACATTTTTTTTTTAAATTAGATATAGAAATTTGTCATGAATCTCTTTGTATCTCAATGTTTTAATGACTGATATAATATGTATGTTAATATATAGATATATCAAAATTCAATTACAGTTGCAAAATTGTAAATGCAACAATTTAAATAAAAATAATATTTATTAATATTTTAACATGAATAATTTTTTGAAATTCAATATACCAATGTATTTATCCCACTGGAATAATTGATAAACTTTGCATCTTTATCTACTTTATTTAAAAAAAAAAAAATACTGAATTATATAAATTATATTAAATTATATATATTTATATAAATTGTATAATACTAAATGAACATATCGCTTAGAAAATTATTAATGTTTGCTGAAAATATTACTTAAAATTTAATTATTTATTTGTTGTGTTTTGTTATTATAGGATCATAATAATGTAAGACATGTGTATATTTATTAGGAAAAAATATACTTTGTAAACTGAATTTATTTAAAAAGATCATAATCTAAATGTTTTGTTTGTCAAATGGTAAAATATATTTAAACTATTACTAATATTTCTGAGTTAATAATACTTAGAAGATTACTTGTAAAATATGTTAATACTTTAATTTAAGAGGTTGGCTTTACCACATTTACTATTTATCTTAATTATTTATTATGCATGGAAAAAATCCATTTACAAATTTTAATAATTCTTAACATTAGTAAAATCAAGTACTTATCTTGGTACTATGACTTTAAACTAGATAAATATGTGACTTATTTAAATTAATACAAGTATTTGATTCTAAATACCTAATAAGTATAGATTTATACCTCTATGTTGAGTATTTTAGTATTGGAAGCATGCATACATCACATCAAATAGAATAAGTAGATTTTACCTAAATGTTTATCCATAATTAATTGTTCATAAATAAGTTAAATAGGTAATAGCTATTTTCTATACAGAGTGTCCTACAGTGTTATCTGAATGCTAATAACTGTCAATATTAATTTTTAAAAATATTTTTAATTGGGTTTTGTGTCAGAGCAAATATAGAGAACATTAAATTGTTATTTTCATCCTTAAATCACTAAAAATATATTCTAAACATTTGAATGTACCATATTTACATATTCGGTCAATAGTTTCTTAGTAATAGACTTTTTAATTTTAATTTCTAGAAAACTGTGAAAACAATTAATTTTCAGTAGAATAACTTACGTGATATGGAATTACAATCTGCACGTCATTATGTTAATTCCTTATCTTCTATTAAATATATTAATTGTTTTCATGCCTATTTTGTATATCAAGGTAGATTAATCCACCTTGTTGTATACATTTAAGCCGCTAAAACTAAGATACTATTAATTTATAGTTCTATACTGTATTATGTATAAAACATACATTATAGTAATTAGTAAAACCACATAGAAAAAACTATTCACTAAATATATTTTAAGTATGCAATATAATTTTGGCTATGACTAATACTACATTTTAACCTAATCTACTAAAACAAATTTAAGTTATTTTGACAAATTAAATTTAGTTAAATGTTTTTAGGAAGAACAATTATTATTTTTTTGGACAAATTTATTAAATTTTATTAAAATTTATTAAAATTTATTTATTTATTTATTTATTTATTATTGATTTAGTTTATGCAATTAATATAATTACACACACCGTAGTAAAGTACTATAGATAAATCAATTCGGAATTATTGCCTTTTATAGCAGTTTTTATTTAGTTAATCAAATCTTATATTTAATTTGGGAGTAATATACATTCGTATTTCTATTTGAAAGAGTGTAGTTCGATGTACTATATGATAGTAGCAGTTGTATCACGGATTGAGATATATATTAATTGGTGAGTTGCAGTAATCCAGTTATATTTATAACTTTTTTTTTATAATTTCATTTTTATTTTAAAATGGTTTTTCAATAATTTGGCGAATAATACGATGAGTGTTTTTCAATGAAATTTTATCGGTAGAAAGTGGTAATGATCAATAATTGGTGGTAGTATCTAATAAGATTTCATCTATTCTGTGGTAGTGTATTGTGTATTGTGGAACAAGTTGCAGAGACCAACTTCATTATGATTGGTTGAAATCCTTACTGTCTTATCAGTAAACGAACAAAATTATGTGATAGTCATAGACAATTATATTATCTATGGTGATAATCATATTTAGATGCGTTGTTTTTCGTTACTCGTTACGTTTCTCGTTATATTATTCTGTGCTCAATAATAATATTAAAACGAAATAGATCGACGAACATTTGTTTGCCAAAAAAGAGTTGTTACTAAAATATGCTCTAAAAATTTACATATTCTAGAAAATAAACAATCAAATCAAGTGTCATTGTAGGATGACAATTTGCAAGTCCAACTCAAGTAGGTACTACAAGCCAGAGCCTAAAATACTATGTCTCCTGAATTACAAATGTGTGTCCGAAATTTTAAAAGGTGTTTTTAGTTTTAATTATAGAAATAACAAACATATTTGAATTTATACACAAATGTATTATACATTTTTATTTCAATATAAGTTGATAACAATTTACTTGTTATTTATTTTATACAAATATCATAAACTTTAATCACGTTCATATTATACGTCTACAAACTATTAGTTATATTTATTTTGTGTAGCATAATTGTAATTTAGCTCACAAGCAATTTTTTCTAATTTTTTTTTCTCTGAAATTTGTGTTTTTGCATGTTTACTTTGATGGTACTTTCCAAAAAAATCTCCCAAACATCATTTTGAAGCTATGGTCAAAAAACCAGAATGTTCAATTTTTTTAAAAAATCGCGTTTTTGAGTTTAAAACACCTTAAATTTACATTTTTGGATTTTTTTTTTTTAGAAGTGGTAATAATTATATTCTTAACATTTTAGTAAAATCGGAATTCACTTATCGTACTTACTTTTTATGTTATTAATAAACCACGTATAACCTAATTATAATGTTATTTCAATCATTTGCATGTATTAAAGTAAATCATAATTGATTTTTCGAACTTTTTTTTCATTTGATGTGTAATAACATAGAAGTTTTTGGTAAAATCAGAACTAACTAATATGTTTTCGTTATTTATGAACTATATAAGCGAAAACGCCAAGGGGCTATTTCTCTGACAGTAATTGAAAAATCACAGTCTGGGACGCTAATTGCCAAACATAACACATTAAAATGCGTTCATGGACATCTTCTCAAAGTCTCAAGTTATGTCTGAAAGTTAATTGCATTGACAATTATGTATGGAGATGTCACGATTATTCTAAGAATTCACATGGAAAAAAAGTAAATTTTAAAACTTAATTAAATATTTTGTTATAAATAACAATAGTTTGATGTTATAATTGTATTAATTTCACCATGCCCCTCAGCTTTCCCTCCCTCCCCATAAGGGTTTTTTCTTTTTAAATTATTTTGGATTCAGTAAGTAAAAAAAATAGTATTAAATAAACTATATTTTTCAAAAGATAAAATATGATATTTATGTATCCATAAGAAAAGATACATTTTTCCACTATTCTTTCCAAACCAAAAAATATTAATTAGTTCTGATTTCATCAAAAACTTCTTTATGTTATTACACACTAAATGAAAAAAATTTCCAAACAATCAATTTTGATTTACTTTAATATGAAAATGATTGAAATAACATTATAATTAAGTTTAACATGGTTTATTATTTATAACGTAAAAAGAGTAAGTACGATAGGTGAACTCTGATTCCACCAAAATGTTAAGCATATAAAAACAACCATTTCTAAAAAAAAAAAAATTTTAGAAAAATCGAGTATTTTGAAGTTTTTTAACCATCATTTCCAAATGAAGTTTGAGCAAATATTTTTAAAAGTATCATCAAATTAAGCATGTAAAAACACAAATTTTGGAAAAAAAATTCCAAAAAGTTCCTTGGGAGCTAAACTGCATTCGTTTCAAAATTTCGGATGTTACAAACCCCAGTTTTTTTTTTTTTTTTTTATAAGAATCTGTTTAAGATAACAATTGAATTAAAAAGTGTGTGAAATCAAATATATTTTAAACCCTACTGCAAGCTGTGTAAGTACATAGTATAAACTGTATTAATTATAGAACATATTACACATTAATTTGGATAATATATTTATATAACATTGTTAGCCTAGAAATGCCACAAGCTTATGTTTAAAATATGAATGGATAAAAAAATTACTGTGAGGAACAAAAAGAAAACTGTTTAAAACTGGAGGTGGTTCCCACACAAATAGATAATTATCTTCCAGTAAATTTAAGAAACGGTTATATATTATTATACAATTGTCTGACAGATTACTCCTACCTCTGGATAGATATTCTAGTAAATTAAATTATAACAACAAGCCATATCCTTAATTTGTATAATATGGAATCAAATTTACCTATTACTTTCACATATTAATATGTACTATAAGTAGTAAGTGTCAATTAGCATTTAGTTAGTAAATTAATTTAATTAAATTCAATTAATTTTCTTTTTATAGTTAAAGTAAGCCTTTTAAAGAAAAACAAATGAATAATAGAATCATTTAAAGATATGTTTCCTGATCACAGTCATACACTCAATAGTGTAACTCACATTGTTAATCAAGGTAAATTGTTATACATATAATATTGAATAACCGTTTATTTAACTGTTCACAATAAACATTTTAGGCATCAATAACTGTGGTAATTATACTAATAGTAGTAATTTGCTAAATAATACACCCTTTGAAAAATATGTAATTAACAATTTATCAAACCATCCAAGGTAAATGGTAAAAGTCTAATGGAATTACTAATTAACTGTCTTGAACTCATGGATTACACAAAACTTTTAAGTCTATTGGAAAACATCAAAAACTAACAAGTAAATAAAGACTCCTACATTACTTACTCAGAACCTAAAAGTAAAATTTATAAGGTCGGTATCATAATAAACATCCGAAAATAAGGAACACTAGACCAGAAAATTAAACCAACATTCTTCGAATTGGTGTACCACTGTTGTAGGTAAGAATTTGGAAAGGTAAGATGTAGAGGGGAATTTAATGTTTTTATGTATCCAATAATTAATCATTGCTAAAGAAAAACTATTTTGAGCAGAGTTTAGTTATACATGTTTTAAAAGGCCTGTTAGGTGGTCAGTCTAACAATTTTATCCTCAGAGCACCTATTAAATAAATATTACTTATAGAACTAGCAAAATTATAATTTTCTATAAATAGCACACCAACTCACATATATATATATCTATATATTATGGATTACCAATTGATATGTTGAGCTTAGGTTGCATTCTTGTTGAGCTATTTACTGGATTTCTATTATTTCCAGGGAAAGATGAAACTGATCAATTAGCTTGTATTATTGAACTTTTAGTTGTTCCCTCAGATCAGAATCTACAATTGTATGTACAAACAAATGAAAAAATTTGGAATTTATTTAAGATTTTATTATTCTAATATAAAAGGTAATATAATATATAGTAAAAATTAATAATATCAAAAATAACAAATTTATTAAATTTTTTTTTTATAGATTTTGACATTTTTAATTGACTAAAAAATAATATAGAACCTTGTGGAACATTATACAAATTATGAACAAAAATAGCACCCTACAGATTGTCTAAAGAAAAAGATAAATATAAGATTTAACTTTTATTTAAAGCTGAGCTTTAAATAAACCCACTAGTCATTTACTAGTAAATATTGTTTTACATAATACACATTTTATAATTATTTTAATAAGACTGATAATCATATTATAGTCTTATAAAGTATTTGAGTACATATTATATTAACCCTTCAATGCCCATTGCAATTAATATACAACACATTCAAATAATATGTTTCTACATTACATATATGGATTACAAAAAATGTTTTTTTTTTATTTCGATATGCGAATGTAACATAATTTATAAAATATCTTTTGAGTGAAAATAATTTTTTAGATCATTTTGAAATGAAACTTAAAATTATTATAAGATATATATCATGAAAATGTTTAGTAATTTATAATTCACAAATAATTAATTTTGCAGTTATTAAATTTAAGTTTATTTTAGTAATTATTAATTATAAAAGTACAATTTTTTCATACAAGCTCAACCACAGGATTTTTAAAATTTTGTTGCCAAAATTCAGCGCATCAAAATTAGTTTAAGATATTTTTGGTGTTAAAAAAAAATTGGATGTTGAAGGGTTAATGTGATATTAGATATGTACTGTATTTCATATATAATATAGTATGTATTATTACTCGTTTATATGTTATAGGTACTTATAATATATTTTTAACCTAATTTTTAATTTTTTAGATTGATAACAATTTTGAACATATTTTTCCAGATAAAAGTTTTAAACTATTTTAAGAGTTTGATATATTAAAATAAAAATTTAAAAAAGATGGACATACCTTGCCACTGCAAGGATAATGAAGATGAGTGCAGCCACTATTATAGGTTATTTAATGTGTACCTGTAAGCAATGTTAAACCATTGCTTACGAAAAACGATTCTGAGCGGAGTTCAGTTGATAGTGATACTTTGTCAATAATATACATACATACCATATTGTAGTAAAATAATTAAATAGGCCTTATATATTTTCTTTAATATTTGTTTAATATTGTACGTTTCCCCCCTGTTTTATCCATGTATTATGAAAACACCAGGGAAAATCAAAAAATACCTTCTAAAGTACCACCTCAGTCAGATTTCCTTTCAAAAAAAATGCTATTGTCAATCTGAGCAAAATTGCTGGTAGAAAAGTTATTCACAGAAAAAAAAAATCATTTAGATTATATTTATTATAATTATAATTTTTTCATAAATTTTCCTAGTTTTTTTTTTTTGAAGGGGATTTTGCAAGTCTTCTGGTAAAGAAGTTGCGCACAGATATAAAAAAAAAAAAAAATCTTTGTTAAACTATAAGCTTCTTTGCTCCATTTAGAATCTAAAACATTGTAAAACCTATACATTCCTTGCTCAAATAAAAATTATCTAAAATCTAAAATCTTTACCAAACAACAAATTTGGATTCCCAACTAATAAATGAATTAAATGCTCTTTATTACAAACCAGGTATTTATTGATTTTTTTTTTTTAATTTATAGTGTAATGTATTGGTTTTACAATGATGTTTATTTATTTACTTGGTTTTTTTTCTGTGAACACTTTTTCTACCAGAAAACATACTCCGATTAATAATTATAGGACCTTTTCTGAAAGAAAATGTTCTCTGGGTGGTACTTTAGAGATGTCATTTTTTTATTTTATTTATAATTATAATTATTTATAGGAAAAATATAGAGCCTATTTAATTATTTTACTATAATATGATATATATATTATTGACAAATCATTACTATCAGTTGAACTCCGCTCAAAATTGTTTTTTCACTAGCAATGGTTTATCAACATTAAATGCCTGTCTGTATCCTATCTTCCCAACTTCCCACCTACAACAGTGGCTGCACCATCCTCAGTATCAGCTCAGTATATCTGTCCTTTTTTTATTATTTAATAAAATTAGCTCATGAGTATTTTTATGTTATTTTTAAGTGATGACAGCAGATTTTTTCAACCCCTTATATAAGCAAACCTGGAACATCAAAATCTTGCATAACAATAAGACCATTGAAAGTAGATTAAGCCACTTCATTTATTTTTAATATTATGGTTAGTTTTTAATAATAAATTATAAACATCCAACAATGTTAAAACTTATAAATGGATATTTTTGTCAATAAATTAATATGCTTAGAAGTAAAATAAATAGAGCATTTTCAACTGGATCAAAATAAATATATTAAATGAATTAAATTGTATATTTGTTTACTGATAGATTTTTTTTCATTAACATAATAAAGTTAAGTTATCATAATTTATTGTCCCTTAACTTTCCTCCTATAATTTATATTATTATTAAAATTAATGTTTCTATCACAGAATTTTCAACTCTAACATGTATAGTAACTCTGTTTAGTACTTTCAAGGTTAATAAAAATTTGTTAAAAAGAGGTTTATTTAGAATATAATTTCTTCAGTAATCATAAGTATTCAAATAATTTATTACAAATATAATACATTATTATTTTATACTTATAGCAAGTAATTTTTAAATAAAGTAAATGAATATATAAAAAAAAAAATAAACATAGACAATTTCATCATCAGGTATATCCCAGACAAAATGTAAACCACGACTGAATATACAAAATTAAATGAAGGAAAACATAGAAAAAAAAAAATTATATAAATTGGTTGTTATACATATAATATAGAAATAATGTATTTTAATAGAAGAGATAATTTAAAATGAGTTAATATTAGACATAGTTATGTTAGGAAATATACATTATTTGGTTATTATTTATTATCTAAAATGTATTGATATATTATTTTTAAAATAGGTTTGAACATTAAAAGTAGTATTAAAATTATTTTTCTTTATTTCACTGTACACATGTAATTCTTCTAAAACTGTAAATGTTATTTTAGGTGTTTAATATCTCTAATTTTGTATCAATATCAAAGCTTATATTATAATTATTTTCTAAAAAAAAACGTTTAGTGTATTTTGAATTAGGGGCACTCTTTTTAATTTAATTTCAGAGTTGTATTCTTTATATTTTAATTAGAAATTTCTATTTGTCTTACCTGTATACAATTTATTACAGTTACTCTAAAGTTTATATATACCTGTATTTTCAAAAGAAGTGGGATTTTTTGTGAAGTTTTTAGTTCTATTTTTTGTATGCTTGATTAAATTATTATTAATCTTAAAAGATTTTTATATTATTTTTATTATTGTTTAGAATTTTAGCTAATTTGTTCAACATATTATTTTGAGTTTTCATACAACAATAGTTAACATTATTTGGTGAGATGTTTAATTTTTTCTTTAATAAGTCTTTAATACATTTTTTAAATTGAAATTATTTTTTTGAGCTATATTATAGATAATATGAAGCTCATGTTGATAATTATTTTTTTTAATAGAATAAGTTCATGCCTATATAATATTGAATTAAAAAATATTTTTTGAGAATAAGGGTGATTAGAGTCGTGTGGTGTTATAATATCAGTTTGTGTAGGTTTCCTGTAAATACTAAAATCAAACCTATTGTTTATTATGGAAACTGTAAGATCTATGGAATTTAATTTATTATTTATTTGTATTTGGAGTGTAAATTGAATATTATTATTTATTTTGTTTAAGTTGTTAACTAAATTTTCTGCTTGTCTATTTGAACCTCTAAATAAAATGAATGTGTAAACAACATATCTATAATATGCTTTTATACATGGAATGTGTATTTTATTGTAAATAATATTATTGGTTTCATAATTTTGCATATAAATTTCAGATAAAAGTGCATTTATAGAACCACCTATAACTAAAACTTTTTGGCGAACATAATTTATTATTATATTGGAAATAGTTTTGATTAATAAATACATTTATTGATTGAATAATTTCTTGTATTTCGTTTATATTGAATTTATTATTATGTATAAGTTTATTTTTTAAAAAATATTGTGTTTAGTATTGAATGTATATTATATATACATTTTTTATGTTTAGAGAAATCACTTTGTAACGTGGCTCAATATTTATTTTATTATTTTTTTCAATGAAATCATAAGTGTTTTTTATAGAAGTAATAGTATTAATTTTTAATTTTTCTTTTATGAAAGAGTAATCATTTAGCAAAGTTATAAGATTGGGTAGTTTTAAAGTTAATTAATAGACTAATCAGATCTTGTTTATGCAATTTTATGAATTTGTTTATGTCCAGAGCCTCTATTTTGTAATCATATCATATCATAATCTCTTGAACTTAAGGTACTATATCTTTGTTGAATTTGTTATCAGTTTATTAATTTGTTTAGTATAAATTATAGTTTGGCCATATTATGTTAAATTTTGAATATTATTATTATTTAGAGCAAAGTAGGACAAAGTTTACATTTTTCTAGCTTTTTATACAGTGCCCAAATCTAAACAAAGTAGATTATACATTAAAAATTAAACAAAATATCTAACTGAATACCTCTACCTACTTCAATTAACAAAAAAATGAATTTATAAATGTGTTGCCCTTTTTTTCCCCTAAATTACATAGGTACTTATCAAACAAATAAAATATGTAAGTAGACTGTAGATGTATAAGTAGTTCCTTATTGTGTAAATATATAAGTGTGCACTATATTTTAATTCACTTTGTCTGGGCAATTTTGTACTGTGCCTGGTCAATATTGGGAAAATAATTAAAATGCTTAATAAATTATTAATTTACCATTGTTCATAATATTCGGCATTGTTTCGTGGCCAAGTATTGTGATGCAATGCCGGATTTATTACTTTGCCCATAATGGTTGTAGGTAAAAATGTCCTGATTGTACACTGTAGGTATAGCTAGATAACTAACAACCAAACCGCGAAGAATGGAATCTTAGGTTTTCCAAATTATTTAAAAATGTACACCCAAATATTTGGCCATTAATTGAAAAAATGCAGTTGAAGTTGAGGATTAAAAATTTGTTGAAATACATATTATTAAATTTAATTAATATTGTATAGGTAGTAGAGTAGAATAATATATATTTAAATTATAACTAAATATTTCTGGATACACCACGTTAAGTGTCTCCTTGTCATCTTCTTGGGCCAGCAATTCTATTTTGCATGTGACACGTGATAGAGCTACGTACAATTGACCACAGGAAAAACATTTGACAGTTAGGTCTAAATTCTAAACCAGCAATATTTAATGTTTGACCTTGTGCCTTATTTATGTTCGTTGAAAAACATAGTTTCAAGAAAAATTTAAGCTATTTAAACTGGAATGGTAAATTGGTTGATATCATTGATAAGACCATTTCCCCAGCTCCACAGCCAGTACATTCAAGCAGACAGTTTTTTATAGATTTTATTTTTAATCTTGTGCGTTATTAATTACCATAAATATGTTTTGATCAACCTTTTACATTTTTGTCTATAGAGTATATAAAGATAACGTTTATAATATTAATGCAATGGTGTCGAGTTCAAATATCAGTCATCATTACAATTTTTACTAAATATATTATTGAAAACAAATAATACAAATCAAAAAACATGTCCGATTAACCAATAGTAACCAGTATACTATTATTTTTATCTAAAATCAATAGCAACCATACAATAAAAAAAATATATTATCATTTAGCATTTATTTCATCACCACCACACATTCCTCTCAAATCGTAACCCTGCGACCTCTGGTTAGTACGTTTAATTGGTGGCATTTTGTTGAACCAAATTGCGCTGAACTGCAATGAACAAACACTTCTCAACAAAATCAAAACTAGATAAATGTTCAGATAGAATAGACTGTACACTAAGAAATGAATAAATATATTTTTTCATAGATACCCCCACACCAATACATAGATTTCATTTTTTTGTTATCCATGTTACCACAGAAACCCCTAATTCCCCAAAAAAAAAAATTTAATTTCTGAACTAAAATTACTTACAACCTGAATTTTGGGGATGGTATTCTATAGAGGGTGAATTTCAATAGCTATTAACCTTCTCCGGACGATGCAGAACATTTTACAAAAAACTGCGTTAAAATTGGCTAAGCCGTTCTCACGTGATGCGATGACCAAGGAAAATAGGGATTCATTTTTATGTATATAGATGTATTATATAAATACCTATTTTTTTATACTAATATTTTAAACCTTTTTCATTTTTTTCATTTAAAGGAAACCTAAATGTATTGTTTCGATACCATAATCCATACATTTTTAAGTACCTAAACAATAAAAGACAAAATGTATGTACACTAATTATTAAGAACTGATTTTTTTTTATTTGAAATATTAGCATCTGATAATTTACAGTTCACAAATAAGGTTATATCGTTTACATGCACATTTTCAGTCTTAAAAGAGCTGTTCTAGGATAATGGGGTCGGGTGCAACTACTGTTATAGGTAATTTAATGTAAGTATACCTGTGAGTAACGATAAATCATTGCTAACGAAAATCGATTCTGAGCGGAATTCAGTCGATGGTGATGCTTTAGCAACAATATATGTCATATGGTTAAATAATTAAATAGGCATTAGGTATATATTTTCTTCGATAATATTTATTTAATGTACCGATTTTCACGTTTTTCCTTCGTTTTATTTTTGTTTAGTTTACATTTGATTAGAAAATTCCTGAGAAAATCGAAAAATTACCGCCCTAAAGGAACCTTCCCAGTAAGATTTCCTTTCAAAAAAAGTGCTATCATTGTAAATCGGAGCAAAATTGTTGGAAGAAAAGTTGCCAACAGAAAAAACAAAAAAAATCTTTGTAAAACCATAAGCTTCTTCACTCCACTCAGAATCTAAAATATGAAATTATTAAAAATATTTAAGCAATTAAGCATGTATATTAATATAAACATTTTATTATAACATAACTAAAAACTGCATAACTGTATAAATACTATTGATAATATATTAATATGCCTATGGTCACGTTTATAACATAGATATTGGAATGTAACAGACTGAAATATTATAATATTTATTAATAGTTCATTGGTACCTTTTTTTTTATAATATTTATGTATACTATAGTATTTACTAAATATATTTTATATGTATGATAATAATTAACATGACTAAAAATTAAAAACCAACAATGTACAACTTTTTTTTCCTAAGAAAACCGAAACTACCAATGAACTTCAAATAAATGCATACAAAAGTTCATGGGAGGATATGAATCCCCACCCCTGGGTACCTAATAATATAGTAGGTACTTACCTACATATATAAATTAAATTAATTTTATTAACTCAATGTATAATTGGTGGTCCACTCTTAAAAAAATTTAATTTTGATGGAGATAACAAAGATGTAATTCAATCAATAAATCGTTATTGTTTTAATTTTTAATAGGTACTATTTATATTATACTTTCAATAATAGTAGGTACTTACCTGCCTATTTAACACTTATGTAAATTTCAATACCTCTTATAAATACTTCCTTAATCGGGTTATTACAGATTTCATAAATTTTCATTTTTATTTTTTTAATCGATGATGATTTTTCATTGTCAATTTTCTTTATAATGTTGTTTTTTTTTCTGTGGACAACTTCTACCAGTAATTTTACTTCAATTTATAATGATAGTACTTTTTGAAAATCTGACTGGTAAGATACTCTAAGGAGGTCGTTTTTTTATTTTCACAGAAGATTTCCCAATAGATATTAAAAAAACATAGGAAAATCGGGAAAATAGGTACAATACCTATCAAACAAATATTATTAAAGAAAATGTTTGATGCATATGTAATTATTTTACCATAATATGATATATATATTGCTGACTTAGCAACACTATCAATCAAACTCCGCTCAGAATCGTTTTTTCATTAGCAATAAGTAATCGTTACGTACAGATATAGGTAAATACCAGGTAGGTAGGTACATTCAATTTTCCCTCTACTACCTTCCCAACTTCTCACCCACACAGTGGCTTCACCCATCCTCATTATTCTAGGGCAGCTTTTATTATATTAATCTATATTTATGGTTATATAGGTATCCAATATTTTGTCATTTTGCATTTAATAATTGTTTTTAAAATATTACATTAATAATAATAGTACAATAATTTTAATATAGTCTATTGAAATACCTACTTAATAAAACCCATTTACGAAGTTTTTAAATAATAAGTGTAAGTAATATAATATAAAATTATTAGGTCACTAGGTCATACAGTTTTGGCTATCAGTAAAATACCCATTTTCAGACCAGCCACTCCGTCACTGCTATAGGGATACCAGACTGTGTTATTGTGTTTTTACGCGCGCGTTTTCTAACGATCGATTGATAAGACACGTTGTTCTACGAGTAATAACTACGGAGTCCTATGCGTTCTATTGTCCTATAGAGGAAATTCATGGCGGGATAAATTGCCTATAGAGTTGGTGAGGCGCACGCGCACTGTTGTTCGCACGCCATACATTACCAAGCTGTCAGAGTGCCAGCTGCGGCAGGCTTTTAAACGCTTGTTTTTACCACCACCAATATTCAACAACGACTACGAGTCTACAGTAATATTATATACACTCGATATACCGTCAACACCAGTCACCGAAACTACTTTACCAGTGTTTACCCACAACATTTTACCATTACAAATTTACAACAGAATTGAAGACGTTTGTTCACAGAGACTGCTTCAATATCGGATAAGATAGAATTTCGTTGATAGTGCAACTGTATACGCTTATTCCAAATAAGTGCGCACCGTGTATACGTAATATTAATATATATTACGTATATATGTGTGTGGTGTGTCGTAAACTGTCGAAAAACGCGAAATGGAATTATAAATCCTCGTCGTCGCCCGCCGCGTACGACGCACGTTCGATCACGCCTTATTATTGTTTCGGTCGTCGCAGTCATTTTTTACGCTTTTTTTATCGTGTCGGTACACGTCGTCGTGTGCATGTCAATTTTTCTCCGTTTTTTCGATAGACACGAGCCCGGGCGAACGTCAAGCGCCCGCTCTCCATTGCAGCTAATTTGGTCGTGTAACCGGAAGAGTAGACGCAATCGCTCGCACGGGCTAATATAATAAAATATTTTAAATTATTCATCATCGTCGTTAGTGTACGTGTGCTGTCGCTTTCCAGCGCGCGATGACGTTATTATCGTCTACAATCGCATCCACTTCTCCTGTAGTCAATAATAATAGCCCTCTCTGGGACCGCTACTTAAGTTGCCCATCCGGTGGTCTTCGATAGCTTTTCGAACGACCGCGCACCGTCGTCGGTCCTTTTCGCTTTTACGTCATAGTCTGTCTTGTTTCTCACATCGTTTTCTGGACGACCTCCCAAACGCTTGTTTCGATCAGCATGAGTGACATCGTTGAGCATATAAAAAAAGAAAACATCATGTTGACGGCCAATCCAGTTTCTAATGTCTTGGGCAGTGCAACAGTTGAAGTACCAGCAACCGTAAGTATTGTCGTCATCTCTCTTAAATTGTATGCACATAACTTGGAAAAACTTCTTTCGGTCATTGAATGGATACAAAAATCGAACGTTATATTTATAACATAATACACAAGTATTTAAATACCGATATTAATAAGGAAACATTCACCTTTTCATAATTGACATTTGATATTTCCTTATACATTATTTCAACTAAACTTGCTTTTGAGGCATAGGTAGGTATATTAACAACATTGAAATTATTTTTCACATTAATCTTATCATAGATTGGATTTGAACTTATTACTATTAGGTGTATAAGATCTATGATCTAATATATTTTACAATAAAATTATCTTTATTATCATTATTTTAAATAGTTATATTTTAATTAATATTCATTAGTTGAAACTTGAGTCAAATAACTTAAAGTTTTACAGATAAGTATTGCCTACTTAATTATCTACTATTTGAATACCTATATATTATTATTTATCTTAATTCTGTTGATTCTTTGTTAAAACGTGGGTATTATCATTAATATAATTTGTATATTACTTTTATACAATCTAACTTATCATGTTACCTGTATAAAAGAAAGTTGAATAGTAGACAAGAATTTAAAAGTTTTATCTTCTATGTTTTGATGACTTCAGTTCAGAACATAAATGTCATAACTCTCTATGTATTTACATAAATATAGAAATATAATAATTTCATGTAAAACTTTTTTTTCAGGCTTATAGAATGTGTAATCCCCCATATGCATCTATTGGAAATTCCATAATAAAACCAGGTTTGCTAATATTTTTGTTATTTATATAGTTTATCTTTATAATTAAAATCTTTTAATTAATTATTGCTACAACTTTGTTTGTATTCATATTTTTAAATCAAGAATATGTCTTATCCTTTTATAAAAATGTATTCATTTTATTATGTTTTCTATTGATAAGGGATACCAAAATTATCAGCTTGTGAAGTTTCTGATGATGATGTCAGTATATGCCCTGTAATTTTACATCCTACCAAGCAGTTGAGTTCACCTGTAAGTAAATACCTAAAATCTTAATTTGTTTTTTTATTATACATTTTTAAAATTAGTTTATAATTTTTTTTTTAATTATAAATTATATTCAGACTAGAAATTATATTAGTTATGTTTTTTGTTTTGATCCTAGAATATATATTATAATTTTGACTGTAAAATTACCTTTATATTATATTAAATGTTTTTTATAATAAAACATAATATACTTAGATTCTGACTTAGTAGAAAAGCCAATAGTTTGATAGGTAGGTAATGATTATTTTCATTTGATACCTATATAATTTTTCCAAACTATAACAGTATCAGAATTGTATATTGTAGAAACCTTATATTGTATTTATGTAAAACACATAATTTTAAAAAGTTTTTATTGGATATATGTATTACTGGAAACTAAAAATTAAATACCATATTTGTTCTGTAAATGATTTATGTTCTATAACTGATGACCCGTTTTAAATATTTGTAAATTTTTTGTTCCTTTTAGACTTATTATTTTTAAATATTTGGTATATTATTTGTGGCAATTATAGAATATTTTAATCAAATATAATAATATAACAGCATATTAATTATATATGTTTTCTTTGAATTTTTGCATATTTATATATATATTGAATTCTGATCTCTTGTTATGACTTATTAAGTCATTATAAATAATTTTATTTGTATTTTAGGTTCAAATTAAAACTGAAAATCTTATAAAAACTATTGGATTTTCTCCTGCACGATCTCAATTAACATCAGCTCAACCACAAAATCATATTGTTACATCATCAATACAGCGTTCCATTATGGAATCTCAAAATATTTCACCTCTTATAATAACACCTAAACCCATTCACACAAATAATGAAATTGTTCCTGCTAAAGTAAGTTTATATTGATATTAATGTATTTTAGATGTAATTAAATAATTCCTTTTTTTTTCTAATTGTTACAGATTGTTCCATTTCCACCTGATTCACATTTTTCTGTAATAAACAATTCAAATTTGGGTAATTTAAATAGAATTGCATTGTTTATAGTATTGTATATTTTTGATTTTGTATAATTAAATATATTTTGGTTATAGGTTCTTATGATAACCTACCTGTATTTAGTGGTACTAGACCAAGCTTGTTGTCTGGTACACCTCCAATTTATACACAGAGTGATTTTGCTCGCTTTCCTCCTAAAAGTTACCCTATTAAAAGTTCTGTTATTAATCCTGCAGTGATCCACGGTAACTATTAAGATGATATTTTTAGTTAATTTATTGTATGGTATAAATTATAATTTGTAATAAAATGTAACAATCATAAATGATTTTACTAGGTCCTATTCATGAAAATAATGAAGACATATGTTTAAATATACCTAATAGTCAACATTTGTTTAAACCAATTATTTCACCAAGACCAAGCATTTTGCGTAAACGTGATGCAGATGGGTAAGCATTTATTTTTTTTTTCTGAAAATTTTTCTACCAGGAATCTTGTTCTAATCATCAACTTTAAGGTTGTGTTCTAGAAGTAATTATTGTTTGGTTGGTGTAATGATTATGTTGATTTCCCTGTAGTTTTCTAAATAACTTATGCTAAAATGGTTTTTGTAATTTTTTTTATTTGTTTCATGGTATAATTTGATTTACAATAATCACAGAAATTTGTAGTTTTCACCCAATACTTATATTACTTCTTTCTAATGTAAAAAAATCTAGTGATTTTTTGAGCTTTTATAGCCATAATATTTATAACATATTTAATAATATTTATAGTCTAACTTCTCTACTATTAAAACCACATTTAAGCTGCCTCTAATGTACTCATCCGTTACCTCATTATTATTATTATTATTATTTTGCTTTATGGGCTATTAATGCCTTTCATAGCTTCTATTAATCTTCTCTACATGTCATAGTCAGTAGCGGTCTCAATGCCTTACTGTTCCATCTATCATTCTTATATCTGCATTGACTCTATCTTTCTACTGTTGAGGTTTTCTCTTGGGGCGCTTACCAGTTGGTTTATTAATCATTACCTTCCGGATTATGCCTCCTTCAGTACTCCATCTATTCTAAATGCTTGCTCTCAGAAAGCATTTAATATTTGGTCTGTTGTATAGATTCCAAGATAGTATTTTTTCTCTTTTCATAGTCCCCAATTGCTTCATTTCTGACAGATCCATATATTTTTCTCAGTTCTTTCTTCTCAAAGATAAGAAGTTTATCCTTATCTCCTCGATCATTGGTCACAGACAAGATACATATATTTTTCTCTTAAGAGCATTCTTGAACTTAACAATTTGTTCAAAGAGAATTATGCTCTCTAAATATGATTCTAAGTATGATTCACCGAGTTTATTTTAAGTTTAACTGCATTATGTAAATCATTTTTACCGTTGATAATAACCCCCATGTACTTAAAATCATTAACCTGTTCTAAGATGTATGATCTGACTATCGGATTGTTCTTAATGGGCATAATTGTGGCGTTTTATTAGTGTGCAAATGTTTTTGCTTCATCAATTTAAGACCCATTTTCCAATTGAATGCAGTGAGGCTGTATTCTTCCTCACATTTCCATTGAGCTCCATTACTCAGTCATTTCTTACATCTCTAACAACTTGTTCAAGGGGTAAGGTTAGTTAAACAAAATTGAAGAGAGGGCATCTCCCTGTTTTAACCCCAATTTTACTTCGATATGGGGGTATAGCTCCCCCTACCACTGGATTTTGCAAAATATGTTTGAGTTGCATGTTTTAATTATTCTTATTCAATTATTCGGGATACTTAGATTTATCAATGCAATCCATAATTGGTCTTTATTTATTTTGTTGTAAGCTTGCTTAAAATCAACAAAATCCACCCTTCTATTATATTCATAGTATTTCTCAATAACTTGTTGAATAGTAAATATGTGGTTTGTTGTTGATTTCCCTCCTATAAATTCTCTTTTTCTGGTCTTTGGAAATTATCAGAAACAAACCTTGTAGGTTGTATCCAAAAAAGAAATTCCTCAATAGTTTTCGACTTTTGTTGGGTTTCTTTTTTTGAATATTCCACAAATGATTGTTATATTCCAGTCTGTTTTCTGTATTCTTATTTTTTTTTTCTCTATTTGTATTAACTCTGAATTCATGTTGTCCTCACTAGGTATTTCATTATTTTTTATAGTTTTAACTTCATTTAATGTTGGTTTTTTAATTTCTGGTTCTGTACAGTAGATTATTTTTTTGTAGGATGTCATGTTATCCTGCATATTGTTTAAAATTCTCTTAAAAAAATGTTAATCATCTATGAAATATAGGACAATTTTCTTGTTGTTTATTATGAGATTACCCTGGTTGTCCTTCATTATTGATGCTTTTGCTTTGTAGCCTTTGTTTAAAGACTTCCACTTCTTAAAAAATAAACTAGGATTCTTTTTGAATATTTCGATATTCTCTATAAGATTCTTTTATTCCGTGTTAATATTTTACATGCTTGAGATCTTGCCTTTTGATATGACTGTATGTTCTCTTGTGTAGCATTTTGTAATACGTTAATCTGCATAAGTTATAAGCTTCTTGACTGCTTCATGAAATTTTGTACTAAATCACTTAATTTTTTTTTTTCGATTCCAAGACTTGCAAGTTTTTTGTTGCTTCATTTATTTTTTTTTTGATCTGTACCTATGTTTTTCAATATCATTATCATTATGTGGCACACTTTTCCTATTAAGTATGTCAGTCAATTTACTTTGGTATTGTTCTTCTACTGGATTTCTCCTCTTATCTTATAATATTATTAATTATTTATATTATTTCATTAATATAGAATGCTCCGGGGACAGAAACATCTTTTACCAATCATAAAGCCTGATCCCGAAGACTGCCAAAATGTGGAAGAAACAACTATAAACAGAAATGGATTTAGTGAAACTGGTATAAAAATAGAATCAATTATGGTACCACAAATTCCAGAGGCAGTATTACCACAAATTTCTGCCCTATCTAGACAATCCCATATTATGGTAGAAATCAGTCCACGAAAAAAACCTCGTAAACAATTGTTGTAAGTCTATTAACTTAATCTGTTTTTTTAAATATATAGAACCATCTATTAAAATACTTTCATTTACTAATTTACTTACATAAAACAGCCCAATTTTATATTATAATTACCAGGTGATCCATTTAAGTGGGTACTCACATTATTTTAGAAAGTATAAACTTTTTCAGAATTTGTTTTTTAGAGCATTTAAGAATCAAGTAGCTAGTATTAATTAAAATAAATTTTTGTGTTGACTTTTTTGATTGCTGCCAATCTGTGAACAAGATATTTCACAGAAGAGTAGTGGTGTATCATTTATGTTAATAATGCACCACCACTCTCCCCCAACCCAAAATTAAAAGTAGAATATCTCGTCAACAGCTAGACAGAAATTCTAAATTTTAACACACAAATTTATTTTAACTAATAATCCATCTATTTATGGACTTTTTAATACAGGTTGCTATTTGAAAATCAAAAGTATGTAGTGTTTTTGCCCCTAAAAATAAGGGTGACAAAAAATAACATAAATATAATAATATAGAGCTGCTTGTTTCTTAAATGTTTTAAAAAACAAACTTCGAAAAAAGTAAATACTTTCTAAGATGAGTATAACCACTTAAATGGATCACTCCATATATAACTTCTTAAAAAAAAAATAGTAAAATTTGTGCATACAAGTGGTGGAAGGGGTAAGTGTTGAAAGTTGAAACTTTTAATAGGCATACTATCCTTAAAATATGAGTACACAAAATATCATCCCTTGGCTTTGTTAGGAAGTTTATAAGGGTGTATAAGTTTAAAAAACACCTTAAACCAACAAATGGTATAATCCATATTTAAATTTAACCATAACTTTTGTTACTTCAATTAACACACTGAACAGCTTTTAATTCCCTTAGTTAGAGCTCACTTGATCTGGGTGGATGTACAGTGTGCAATGTTAGTTGGAAAAACTATAACACTGCTTATATAAAATATATTTGATTTGAATTTGTTTTTTTTAATGCCTATCAAACTTTGTTATACACTTATTAAACTAATTAAAATATTTTGTGTCATTTAATTTCATGCATGCTCATAACACTTTTTTTTATTAATTTTAATGATCAAACCAATTTCTGAATTAGGTTAAAAAATAGTTGAGTTATGTACATTTTAATTTATATATTTGATATTAATTTTTAACTTTTTAATCAATTTGATGAGTTAAATTATTCATTTTTACACAGTTTTTTACTTTGATAGAGGAATTATCCTTTATCATATCTTACTCTTTTCTTTCTTATAATTTGTTTTTAAATGATTATAAAAAAAAAAAAATTTTTAATTTTAATTAAATTGCTATTCATTATGATTAAGCATATTTCTGACCTTTGTAGAAATTCCATACTTGTTGCAGTTAAAATTCTTTTCTGTAGTTGGTTGAACATACCTTTCATTTATTTTATCTTTCATACTATGTATAATACTACACTAGTATGTAACTAAATCAGCTCACTCACAAAAAAATTACCTACTATACAAAACAATTTTTTTTTTTGAAAGTCTAATAGTTTTATTTTACAATGACACCATTATCTTAAAAATGTCTTCAGCATTTTTAATTTGTTTTGTGAAAATTGGTTAAGTCATTTTATAAAAATATGCCTTTTGTGGGTGAGTTGATTTAGTTGCATGGGAGTTTAGTTGGTTGTCTTATGGTTTAATCATAATAGGTAGCAGTTTGATAAATGTATAATATAAATGAATAATAATTTGGAGCTATAAAAATTAATTGTTATATAAATACATTTTTGAGGGGAGGGGGTAGGGAGTATTATCAGCCTCTAGGACCATTCCATTATACATACAGTCTTCCATCCAGTTGCTCAAGCCTCCATGTTCTTGTCCTTTCTCCTTGTCCTCCAGTCATTAGTTATACTATCCTTCATAGGTCCGAAAATTTTCCTTTCAAAGACAAAATGCTTTTCGTTTTCTGAATTGTCCAAGTCTCTGTTCCTTATGTAACAATTGCACTTATTAAGTATAGTTATATGTTTAAATTTACAAGTATCGAGCTCCCAACAGCTTTAATAGTCCGAAAAAGCATTTGTTTCCAGTCTGGATTCTCACTTCTAATTCCTTTGTTTCATTATTTTCTGTTAAAATCGTCCCCAGGTACTTGAACTGATCCATTCTACCAAAATTATAATATCCTATACTTAAGAAGAGGCTTAATCTTGCATTGTTCTGTCTCCTTACAACCATATATTTTGTTTTCTCCTCATTGGTGCTTAAACCTATTCTCACTGACTTTTCCAGCTGGCCAAATAGTGACTTATGTTCATTTTGCAATTCTGTTAATAGTATCAGTTCATTTGCATGTGCCAATAGTCCTATATTGGGACCTTGTAAGTTAACAACTTTTTCCTATGGAATATTAAATAATATAGGCAATAAAAAGTCTCCTAGCCTTTGTTCTTTCTTTACTGGTATTTTTTTCGATTTTGTAGTTCCTACTCTTCTTTTACATAAGTTTCCATAATACTTGACTTGATTAAATTTATCAGTTTATGTGAGAAGTGGAACTCTACCAAGATTGACAATTAAATTTTACAAGAATAACAGGTTACGTGATAAGAAATCACAATCAGCACAGTAATTTCCTATCTTTTATTGAAAATTAGTTGTTTTCACATTTTTTTAGAAATTAAATTGGTTATTACTCAAATACTATTGATCAAATATAAATGTATGGTACATTAAAATTTTGAGAAAAATATATTTTTTATAAAATGGCTTTTTTTTTCAATGACTAGGATGATAAAATAATTATTTTTCTCTAAATATTGTCCTACTGACTCAAAATCCGACTGAAATAAATAAAATAAATAATTATAGTTCATATAACACTGTAGAACAATTTGTATGTAAAAATTCCATAAATAAATGTTGTATTAGTATTAGAGATACATTTTAGTTTTGAAATTTTTAAGGAGATAACATTGACAAGATAATCCATTTATGGATTAAATTGAGAGTGACCAGTTACAGACATATCACTGTCTCTATAATACATTAGTCTATTTTCAGAGAAAATTTAACAAAATGAAATTATGTATAACAATGATTATATTTTATTTAAATTTGTTAAAATATATTTTTCAGACCTGTGAATCAAGATAATACATTTCAAATTATTAATGATGAAATGGAGTATGTTGGAGAAAATAATATAAAAATTGAAAAGTCTGAATATTTTGAGGAAGAGGAAGGGTTAACTTGTGGTGTTGATGCAGATGAGGATATAGATGATGATGATGATTTATATGATGACGATGAGATGGATATTGATGATGATTTTCCAGGAGAGGATGATTATGATCAAGATGATGAATTTGAAAATGATTTTGCAGATGGTGTGTTTTAATATTATATAAATTATGAGTATATGACTTAAAACATTTAAATTTAATTTTAGGACTTGAGATTGTTATTAAGTCTGAGAAACCAATCACTGATGAAAGTAAACCAGCAGTTACCACTAGTGATGAGAATGCAGCCCCTATAAAGGTTAAAAATAAACGGCCATCATTATTGGCACATTATCGAAGACCATTGAGTGGGCAATCCTACCATTTTCTAAGGTAAAGTATTGACATTATGAATAAAATCAAAGAATAATAATATTAATATAATAATAATAATATAATATTAATAATTTGATTTTAGGGATTCTGATTTCAAAATTAAAGAAACTAAAAGGCAATTAGCTGAACTAAGACAAACCCAAAGATGGTTCCGTGATTGTCGATCTGGTTGGAGAGTAAAACGCATGATAAAACAATTTGAAACAATGGTAAATCAGTGAAAATAATAATTTTAATATTGTTTTCATACATTAATTTGTAAAAAAAATTAATTATCTCAAACAAATTCAAATAACAACTATTAGTATTTGTTAAATAATATTCAATTTTTTGGATTCTGAGTTTAGCAAAAAAGCTATTCGTTTTACTAATATGGTTTTTTGTTTCTCATTTCGCAAATTTCACTTTCCATTCATAAAAATAGTCTACTTTTTTTACACAGTACTTTAAAAAACTCAGTATTTTCATTAAGTGGTATTTTACCTGATAAATATTTCAATTTTTAACAGTTTTTTTACTTTGTCCTTTTTTGGTTTTTTTCTTTGGGAAACACACGATTAGTAAAAATGCTTTAAATTATTTGCACTATACCTTCAAATTGTGGGATTTCATTACTAACTTATGGATTCCCATGTCTTTCAGTACAATTTAAAGAACTGGCAAATGTCAGTATATCACTTATATTACTTTTATAATTTTAGTATATTACTTTTGTTGTTTTCTGGATTAATTTGGTTACAAGGGAAATATTATAACTAACATTACTAACACTACTTCTTTCAAAATCTTTTGGTGATTTATCATTGCTTTTACTGTATAAATTAAATTACTTATATCCTCTATTATTTACCAACAGTTTTCTACCTAGAGTTAAAATGTTGAATATTAGGTTTGAGCCTAGTGAGGAATCATATTAGTTTTATGCCGGGTTGTATAAAAACTGTTCAGTAAACTATTGGTTCCATAATCTATCTGTTCTGTAAAATTACAGTGTTGCATATAATTATTTCATTATTTTTATTTGTTATCTATGGTTATAACCACTTGCTTAGTTATAAATATAAATATAATCAATACAGTGTGTAATCGTTTATTGGAAACACTCTATAACTTAACAAATATTAAATATATTTGAATTCTGTTTGTTTTTGGTGCTTAACAAACTTTGTTTTAATTTATTAAACTAAATGAATTTGTATGTCATTTAATTTTGAACATGCTCATAACAACTTTTTTTTTTTTTAATGGCAATCTTACCTTTTTTGGTTAACTATTTTTTTTTTTTTTTTTATGAATTTTAATGGTAAAATCAACTTCCTATATTAAAAAATAACCGAATTATGGATGTTTCAATGTTCAATATTATTTTTTTGACATTTTTGAATTATTCATAAATTGTGTTCCTTAATATACCTTTTTGTACCTTATGATATCTTCTAGTGATATTTTTAGTATCTACTTTTGGGAAGGATCCTCTTCCCCTACAGAAACTAATTTTTTCAAGTTTGTCTTCTTAGGTGATTAAAAAAAAATATATATTTTTTTATTAGTTCAAAATTACATTCATTTATCTTATATATCATTCAAACTGCTTTCCATTATAATTTAAACATACTTTTGCCTTCTGTAGAAATTCTTTATTTGTTGCAGATGAAATTTGCCCCCATTAAGTTGATTACAAGTCACGATTACTTTTTTGTTTCAAATGAATTAGATTAGTAGGTGGGTTTGCATAGACAATAGTTTTTAGATGTCTCCACAAAAATTAGTCTAATGGTGTAAGATCTAGGGATCAAGGTAGCCATTTTATTATACCAATAGTTCCTATTCAACGATTTTCAAAATTGTCATCTAAATAATTCTTCAGGGCAATTGTATTATGTGCTGGGGCTCCATCTTTTTGCAGGAGGAATATTGTCTAGCATGATCGGTAGCTCATTCATTAGAAATTTTAAATACCGTCTTCCATTTAATGTAGAAATAAGGTCCCAACAATGTACCTCTAATCAAACCACACCAAACATTTGTTCCTCAGATACATTAGTTATTTATTTTACCGTTGTTGGTGAGGTTAGATTCATCTGTTCATAATATGTAATTTAAAATAATAGAATTGTCTTTTAATTGAGTTACCAACCAAGAAATAAACATAATCCTACACTCAGTATCACTTTGGCGTAAGTGTTAAACTAAATCAGGTCTATATGGATGAAATTTGTTTTTTTAAAAACTTTTGAACAGCATTATGAGAAATACCCATTTCAAAGCCAACATGGTGCATTCTAACTCTGAGATTTGCTCTCTTTATGCTAAAAATTGAAGCTCAATATCTTTCCCTAATGTATTGACTACTCTAAGTTGTTGGTTGACAATAACTCTTGTGTTAGAAAAAGAACTAGTATTAATTAAATTCCTTTCTAATTTATGAAAATATCTATGTGATGGGGTGTTGCCTATCTGAATTTAGAAAAACGAATAAATTTGTTTTATTATTTTGAACAACAAAACCAAAAGTCATAAAAGTACCAATTATTAATAGATACATACTCAAGTATTAGTAAGTACTTGCAGCCTGACATAAATTTTTCCACATTCCCAGTAAATAAAAAGCATATCAACCTTCTCTGAATTATTCGTATTTTGTTTAAACTACAAGCTATCTCAATTATGAAATTATTTATTGTTTAATAAACACTCGTGAATTCGTAAAATATGACTGTAAAGCAAATACAAAACAAGTAATTGCACTGGCCTATTTCAAATTAAAACAGTCAATTGATAGAGAAAACTCATACCTATCATTTATTGATTATTTTAAAATATCCAATAATAGAAATAAAATTGACATGCGTGAAGATTATTTGCGATCAAATGAAATTTGTGAATAATTCAAAAATGTCAAAAAATTAATATCAAACATTGAAACATCCATAATTCAGCTATTTTTTAATACAGGAAGTTGGTTTTACTATTAAAATTCATAAAAAATATAGGAGTTAAAATAGTTGACCAAAAAAGGTGAGATTGTAGTTTAAAAAAAAAAAAGTTGTTATGTGCATGTGTGAAATGAAATGACATACAAATTGTTTAATTAATTTAATATTTGTTAAGTTTTAGAATGTATTCAACAAACGATTACACACTGTATAAATATTTTATCCATGTCAAATTATAATGTGATAATTCAATATCAAGTTATTATATTATACATTCTTCTTAACTTATATATTATTCTTATTTATTTCTTTTTTTTTTTCTGTTTAAAAATGGCATACCATCATAATCTTTGAGGGGAACTGATGAAGATGTTGACATTTTTACAACAATAAAACAGTAACAAGTAACAACAGTAACTAGTAACTATTTACAACAGTAAATAGTCACACAGAATAAGAAAATTAGTCACAAGAAAATTGAATTGATCCATATCAAATTATAATTGAATTACAAAATTGTGATAGCAAAATTATAATTACCTAAATGACAAGGTTAAGTTCTGCAAATTTTATTGAACTGAAATCGGCTTATCAACTTATCAATAACTATATTTTTGATAAGAACTATCAAATTTATGGAACTGTTTTCAATTTTACAGAACCAATGGCCGGCTATCAATTCTTTATAGTTTTATGTAACCCGGCAATAAAAGAAAATAAAATTTCATGGAAATAATGGTTTTATTATTTAAAATTTTGTTGTTATTCAATCAAAAATATCAGTAGAGACTTGACATTAAAATTAAATTTACTATTTCTAGATTTAATACAATTTTCAAAACATTTTTGAAGATATTTATGGGTATTTTATGTTGTGTATTTTTTTATGTAGATTTTATTTAATAAATACTATGTTGATAAAATTGTTAGATCAAACAGAAATGATTGAACACTCAACAGAAGGATTATTATAAAGTGTACTTAGTGGTTAAAAAAAAAAATATATAACTAATGTGGGTTTTTTTTAATTGTTTTAAAATCAAATTATGGCGAAATATTACAGCCTTACAAATCAAGTATAAATGACCTTTGCTCAGAATTAATTTGTTAGCAATGGTTTATATTTATATATATTTTAATTATAAATTATATAATTATGTGTCCTACTTTCCAATTTCCAAACAGTGGCACACCCATGAACAGAGTATCATCTCTTTCATTCTTTTAATTATAATTATTTTAAGAAATTTAAAAATTTGTCAGTGTTTTCTTATAACCATCTTTAATACCAGTTTTTTTTTAAATTACACTTCATATTTCAAAGAATGCTAATGTAAAATCTAGTGTAGCATTATTAATTTTAGATTCTGAGCAGAGCAAGGAATATATTAGATTAAAAAAGTGAATAAATATATAAATAAAAAATTTCTTTATAAAAATAAAATAAATTTATTAATGAATGCGCCTGAAGTATTATGATAAGTGTACTATAACTGGTTTCGAATTAAAAATTCATCATCATTATATCACAGTCAAAATGTAAAACGCAACTGAATATACAAAATTAAATTAAGGAATACATAGAAAAAAAAATTATATAAATTGGTTATTATACATATAATATAGAAATAATTTATTTTAATAGAGGAGATCATTTAAAATGAGTTAATATTAGACATAGTTATGTTAAGAAATATACATTATTTGGTTATTATTTATTATCTAAAATGTATTGATATAAGATATTATTTTTAAAATAGGTTTGAATATTAAAAATATTATTAAAATTATTTTTCTTCATTTCATTGTATATATGTAATTCTTCTATAACTAAATTAATGTAAATGTTATTTTGGGTATTTAATATCTCTAATTCTGTATCAATACCAAACCTTATATTATGGTTATTTTCTAAAAATATGTTTAACGAAATTTGAATTAGGGGCAGTCTTTTAATTTTATTTTAGAAATGTGTTCTTTATATCTTATTTTAAAATTTCTATTTGTCTTACCTTTATACAATTTATTACAGTTACATTTAATTTTATATATACCAGTATTTTCAAAAGAAGTGGGATTTTTTGTGAAGTTTTTAGTTCTATTGTATATATGTTTGATTAAATTATTATTATTATTATTATATTATTTTATTTTTATATATACATTTTTTAGTTATATATTTATTTACGAGTATTAACCATTTTAATAATTTTGTTTTTACTTTATTATTTAATTATGTATTAGTTTAACGATGTGCACTTTTATTGTTTTATTTGTCCATCTGTAAACAACTTTTCCACCAGAAATTTTGTGCAGATTAAAAAATGACAGGATACTTTTTTTGTATCATTTTAAATTTAATTAATGCTTTGGGGAGATAATTAATTTTCCAAGCTGTTTTTATAATTATCTTTTAAAAATGATTAAAAAAAAACTTATAAACATTTATGATTTTAATTATTTCATTTTTTAAATATTTTCAATTATTCCAAATTTCAAAAGTAACTTTCTCTCTGAAAGAAAAATTGTCCATTTGGTGAGTTAGTAAGTCATTTTTTGATTTTAAAGCAGTTTTCATAACAATTGGGGAAACTCAAAATAATGTCCAAAAACATAGAAATGTTTATAGAAATAACAGTTTTTTTAATTTTATTGCAATTTGGTTAAAAATATTTGTACAAACTTGAAATTTTCACAGAGTATTTATATTGGATTTATCAGCAATTCATATTTGTTTTGTTTTTATCTTTATTTAGTTTAATGCAGATTAAATTAAATTGGCTGAATAGAAATGTATGAAAATTGAATTGAGGTTTATTATAAGTTTATTTAACTTTTAGTGGTAAAATAAAAAAGAGATGTGATATTACTGATGGGTGTATCACTGTTTTATGTGGGAATTTGGGAAGGTACTATACATTTAATTTTTTGATTTTTATACATATTCAATGATAAAGTAAT